TATATATATATATAATAAAAGGAAAAAGAAGGAACATTATTCCAGAAATTTCTTTTGCATCTTTGTAAATCCCAAATAGTTTTCCAAAGCTTGCTTCACAATAATTAGGTTTGGCAACAACCTTTGTAAAGGAAGAACATGCACAGTAATCTTTTGCTGCATATCTCTACTTGCAGAAATATAATGGAAAGTAAGCTTAAACTAAAAGCATTTGGTAAACCTGCCAAGAGTAGAAATTGAGAAATCTGATACCTTAGTTTTCAAACATGATTTATGCACTGTGGCTGTTCTAATGCTCCATATGAACTGACTGAACATCCTAGAATTTGTTTCAGAGTGTTTTCTAATATGCAAGTCTTACATTACAAACATGGTACCGTACTACCCCACCCTTTATTTACACTTAGGGTGGTGCTTAAATCATTTCATCATTTATCTGAAAGTGATGAATTTCTGGTTTCCAGAAGACATTGAACTTCTTCGTGTTTTGTCCTCACATATATATACTTAGTTTCCATTTGGTGTTTTTCTCCAAATACTGGTGGTCCTTATTAACTGAAGTGCCTTGTTTAGTGACTGTTTGCAGTTACAACTGTGATGAAAAAGTAATTTTACTACCAGGCCCTGCATTTACTACTTTGACAGGTCTGTAAAGCAATGGAAAGCTGAAATGACATCGTAAGCACAGTTACAGCTTCACTTAGTGGCTGCTTCACTTAACTCTGAGTTGCTGATCTAATTGTGGTCACTAAATGAGGGCTTCCTGTAAGCATAGTCTTGTAGATAAGTTTAAAATCAAGTATTTCAGCTAAACAAAGCTGTTAAGCAAGCTGCAATTAAATAATTCCTATTTCTTGATTAACATTTAAAAAATTCAAACTGGTCTATACAGCACACGGTATTTTAAGGTCCTTCATCCATTTTCTCTTCCTGTAATTAATGCCACCCATTGAGTCAAGGGTTTCATCAGTGATTAAATGCATATCACAATGTACATAAAGTTCATCATTTATGTAGGTGCATACAAAACATGAGATATAGACGAAAGGAGTAGTTTGTGTGGGCAGATCACAACTTTTCCATTATTTTCCTTTGTGTACATTCATGTTCTAATAGACACCTTCTCAAAGACATAATGATGGTGTCCACCCTACTCCCTGTTCCATAAACTAGCAGATAATATGAAACTGGGTAGACTAAACCATGAGGTTTACCATGGGTAAGCATGGCATGCAAATATCACCCCTGCCTGTGACTTTATATGGAGTAAGCCTGGTGAATTCCTTCCTGCAATGTCTACAATCAACAGCTGCCTGACCAAAACTTGCTGGTTAGAATTCCTGAGGTATAAGTTTATCCCATTTAAACATACAGGAGAAATACTCACAGTATTTAGGAACTTTAAGCATAGGAATATGCTTATCTTCCCTTGACATGATAAGAAACTGAATTGTTATATGTCAGTCAGTGTTCTCTTATTGTGATGTATTTTTTTCTTCCATATTCTCTTCCAGCCAGTCTTGTCCCTAACTATCTCTGGCATCATCGGAGTAATGGATCCAAAATAGCACAGTGAGGAAACAGTATATTATTTATTGGGTAAGTTTAGATTCTGAACTTAATGGTCTTACTGCTCTTTGGATGGTAAATTGTGTTAAGATTAGAATATGTTCTAGTTTAGTCAGGGCTATCCCAATTTGGGGCTGAGAAGCCTACTGGCATTAAAAAAAGTCCTTATCGAGTCCTTATCTAAGGGTTTGAAAATATGATAATAATGTAGTACAGTCCTGTCGATCTGGTGCATGGAGACCTAGGATTTAAACTCAAAGGAGAAAGAGGAAAAAGTGATTCCTTCTTCTGAAATAAGCCATTACGGAGTGGCTTCCATTTAACCACCAAAGATGATTCTTTATTTTTTCTGGCTGGATTTCTGACCCAGGGGAGAAAGACCAAATTCATTTAAAAAAGCAAAAAGGACAGAAAGAACAGAAAGAACAACACCAAGAAAGAACTGGACAAACCCCCCCCCCCCCAAAAAAGAGAGAGAGATGCAACACAACCCTGAATAAAATTCTGTGAACATTATATTTTGCATCAGTCTTCTTTTCTTCCACCTTCCTCTCCTTTCCTTGTATCTTACACAGTGCAAACCGTTGGTGGGGCTTGTAAAATTACTGATTTTAAAGAGCCATTATAGCAACTTTATTTGGCTGAAGAACTAAGCAGATAATGTTTAATTAATTACCATTTGAAGGAGACTGCTTCCAATATTAGAAAAAGGGAACGCCTAACCTTGTTTTTAAAGTATTTTCAAAAATGCTGACTTGAAAACTCACCTGCTACCAAGGCCCAAAGTAAACCGGAGGGGGGGGCGGGGAAGGTTACTAAACCAAATCCAAGTTATTGAAGGAACCCAACTGCACTGTCAATGCTGGCGTGTCATGCGATCGCTTGGAAATACATAACCTTTCATCCTGGTTGATCCCATTGTCCTAACAGAACATTGTCCTAATGCTTTTAGCATGTGGGTGTATGAGCAAACTTCCACCCCCCCCCCCCTTACACACCTTATGCTCTCTTTTAGCTGATCCAAAAGAGTCTTCCCAAACCAGCAAGGCGAAAAGCGCGCCGGGCTGATCTATAAAGGGGCTGGGCAGCTTTGTGCAAAATAGAAAGTTGGAGGACTGACAGGATGTGATCCTCTGGAACAAATGTCTTTCAGAGAGAGAGAGAGACGCCCCAGCTTCTAGTTACATCTCTGGCAGCGGACAACAGTTCTCAGCTTTGCTTACCAGGGTTATTACTGGCCGAGGCTGCTGCCTGCAAAAGAGGCTTTGCCAGCCCCCTCGTGTCCTTCTTTGAAAAGGGCAGCTGGCTTGTCCCGGAGGACATTGCAGAGAGGGAGAGCGCGGGGCAAAGCGGCTGCGAGCGCCCCGGGCGGGAAGAAGCCTCTTGCTCTTCGCTTTCCTGAAGCGAACTTGCCAATCGGCATCATGCACAGCTACGGGACGCCGAGGCAGAACGAGGATTAAGGCGGGAAAAGAGGCGCGGTGGGGTGGCTGGGCAGGGCGGGGCGGCGCTGGGAGCTCATCCTTCTCCTAAGGGGAGCGCCGCGGGCGAGAAACATCGCCGCGCCGACCGAAAGAAGCTCCTCGCCGGGATCCCGTGCAGGCTAGAAGCCGAGCGCCATGGAGGGGAGCCCGATCCCAGTGCTGACCATGCAGACGGTCCCGTACGAGGACCAGAAGCCGACGGGCGGCGGAGGGCTGAGGAGGCCCACCGCGGTCTTCGAGGGCCAGCGCAATTACTTGCCTAACTTCATCCAGAGCCTGCTGTCCTCCATCGACCTGCGCGACCGCCAGGGCTGCACCATGGTGGTGGGCAGCGACGGCAGGTACTTCAGCAGGACGGCCACCGAGGTGGTGGTGCAGATGGCGGCAGCTAACGGGGTAAGGGCGGCGCCTCCCTTGGCTCCTCAGGAGCTTGGTTGAAGGCGGACTTTTCTCCAGCGGGATATCACCCACCCAGCACGTCTAACCCGGGTCATGAGGATGATATTAGGGCAATCTGTCCTTCTTATCCATTTTGGAGAATTCTGAATTCAAAAAGAGGTTGGATCCAGTTGATCTCGAAAAAACCAATTCATAAGGTCAACTGGATCCGATCTCCTTTTGAATCTTCAAGTTGTCATTATTCTAGTGGATAATGGATTGGATCCATAGGGTAATGGATCTGCAGCCCATGATTTATTCTATCACATCTTATTACAGATGCGTAGAATATATATACTGTCACACGCCATCTGGCCTTCTGTTATCCATGGCTTCCATCCAATTAATTTATATCTATAATGGCCCATCCTTTCCTTTGTAGATCTGTTTGCTAGCCTGCCCTTCATTGCTCCATCTGTGTAAGTTCCTGACTGTTGTAGTGTGCTACAGGACTTGTACTGACTGGTTTGTTGTGAATGTTAGAGAACAGCTGTTGATAGTTTACAGTTTACTGGGGTCTATTTTGGAAGCTCACTAAGTTTTCTGTGTTTGACATATTGAGTTTGACATATTTACTCCAATAGTATATGGGGAAAATGCAGTGGTTTTTCACTGTGTTATCTTGCCTTCCACCATATCTATCAAATTGTTTTTTTTCACTGTGTTATCTTGCCTTCCATCATATATATCAAATCTTCCAAAGTCTTTGTCTAATTTCCCCCCTCTAGTGTAGCGTTCCATTGATTTTGTTATTCACTCAATCTGCCTGATCGTGTAGTTTGCCTGTGGCATGCTTTCAGCTGTTCCAGCCTTTTCATGACCTACCATGAAAGTATCAGACACCAACATTTTAGCCTAGCGTATAGTGCAAACTCAGTCTGGTTAATTCAGAGTGTTATGTGAAACCAGAAGTTGTGTTAGTTGTGGTGAAATACGTGTAAGTTGTGAGAATTCAGCCAGTATTCACTCTTGTAATTTATATTTCCATAATTTCATAGAATAAGGAGGAATTGAAGTCTGTGAGGTGAAAAGTTACAGTTTCTCAAGCATTCCTTTGGTTTAAAAGAAGTTCCATCATACCAGTAAATCTATTTAGGAAGAAATATGTGCCCTTAGACATAATTAAGGCCGATTTATAAGTTCAAAACCCATAATTTCAATGTAACAAGGATATGTTTAATATCCAAGCTATACATATTGAATAGTTGTATTTTTGAAGGCCACACAGTATATTTCTGACTCAGTGACATCTGCCTGACCTTTTTCTTGGCTTGCAGAGAATAAGGAATCACCCTCTGAAGAGACAATAGTACATTTGCTGTGGGAAAGTATTGGAGACAAATCTTCCTTGGAAGGAAATTAGAACATACAGCCAAACCCTCTGCAAATGTCTTTCATACTTTTACTGAATAATTTTGACATGTTCCTTGTTATGTTCTTTACAAAGAGAGAGATAATCTAAAAAGGAGTGCCCACCCTTTTTATTTTCTACTGATATTAAGCTGGATTTGATGGCGCACTTCTTGGCACCTCGGTAGATTGCTCACTTCCACAACAACACACAAAAAAGTTTATGAATAACCTATAATAAACCAGATATAAACTTGAATAGACATAATCTGAAGCTAGCGACTGTAAAGAGCAAAGCACAAATTGGAGATAAAGGAGATTAAAAGATAGAATAAGCAAGACCAAAAAGGCTGCTAATTAGATAGCATGATTTCCAAGGCTAAATCTATCTTACCTGTAGGATTTTATCAGATGAATTGGAAACGCTGTCTCTTCCTCTTTTGCTCCTGATTAAGGCACAAACATGGCCCGGTAATGTTTTTTTCTGCCATGTTGGTTTTTCACTGCCAGCCCTCTTCCCAGCTCCAGTCTCTTGACAGGCATCCTTCCCTTATTCAGGTCTAAATTTTATGTTTGTTTGTTTTTTTGTTCTGATATAATTTTAATGGCTAAAGTTTGTTACCCTTCACTGACCATTTGATTGCTGGTGTGGTTGGGTTTAGGATTTCCATAGTAGTAGTAGTTGTTGTTGTTATTTTGTCACTTAAGATTGCTGTAGTTATGCTCCTTTCTGGCTGGCTGCTGGGTTTGGTCCTCTGTGTCCAATTTGGCTTGGACTTCAGAGACCTCTGCTCGATAATGTCTGATTGGTGTTTTGCATAAGACTTTTCAGGTCTTGGATGGATTCCTCAGATAGTAAACATAGCAGGGGTCTCCAACCTTGGCAACTTTAAGACTT